AAAAGAAAATTAAAAAAAAGTTCCTCTTCGGGGATCGAACTCTCAATATCCAAACCCCAAGGACATGCAACAACGACATCTAGCGACAGGCGGCATTATTTGTATTAACATAATTTATGCAACCATCTTTAGATTTGTAGTACGATCAATAAATTAGCGCCTAAAAACTTATGTAACCATACTTCGATCAATGGTATGTCACTAGATGAGACTGTTACTACATAAAGTTTCTTTTTGTAAAGAACATGGATTAAAATGGCAGCAAGTCTATTGCATATACCACAAACCGGAAAGAAGTAAACAGGTATTGCAAGGCCTGCAGAGTAACGAAACTACCAAACAAAGAAAGAGAGAAGGATAGATTCCGTATCAGCATGCGCGCTGAAATGTAAAAAAGCACAACGTCGGAAATCATGTCACAGACTCACATCCCCCCTTCTGTTCTAAAACACCTAAGATCTTTCATAGATCCGAAAATTTCGCTGGTTACATCGCCATCAAGTGTCGGCCTCCGTAAAATACATGTATGTGGCCACTGTTTTCCAGACAAAAACCTCGAAAACAAAATACGTATCTTGCTTCTAAATGCTGGTAGCGTAGTGTGCGCTGAAAATTTTGCGGTAAAATTGCCCCATTTTCCATTTGAAAGTATTGATTGAGGTTTCATCCGTAGTCAACTTTTTAATGCGCCCATAATTTGTAAACGCAACAATACATCCAAAATGCATTAGCAAACGGCCGAAAGAACAAAAACAAGAAATGCTTTTGAAAAAGCTGGCCTTTCGGTTAGTTTGTGTATGCAAAGTTGTAATAAATGAGCTTGAAGATATTTTTAATGGAGTAAAAGGTAGAAAAGTGTACCTTCTACTCGCATCATTAAAACTGTATCACCTTGATGGTAGTTTGCTGATAATGTTACTTTTGTTAGTTTTACTTTAGACATTCTTGACAAAAACAGGAACTTTCATCATTATAATTAAGTCAAGTGTAAGTACAAAGTCTGCTACGTTGGAAAAATAGAGGTTCTGACAGAGTATCTTTTGCTTTGGTAAAGTGCGATTTCATGTGTAACACAACTGATATCAAAAAGTAAGTA